AGCTCAGCTAGGGTAAGTGGTCGTTGGCTTGTTCGCTGAGCTGGGCAATTTGATTGCATGCAATCAAATTTTTTGATTGATGCAATCATATTGCCTAGCTCAGCGAATAAGCCAACGACCACCAGCAACGGTAGTCTTCAAAGCCTCTCTTAAAATCATACGATATCACAAGTTATATATGCAAATGGATGGTTCATCCAGCCTACTTACCATTTGTCTTCACGTGGATTAGGGTATAAAATCTATCTGATGCACCCAAAATAGATTAAATTGTTTTTTTTCCATACCACTCTCAGTAAATAATGGTGGAAACAGTAGGAAATGTACGTACTTCACAGTTACCGATGACAGTCAGAACAATGGACAAAAAGCAAAATATTGCGGTGGAAAAAATGAAATCGGAATGAGATTGTGGCCGGCGGCAAGAATACTGGCGGACCCTGGTGAAACTCACCGATGTAACCATATCTTAGAATAAGCCTAAACTCTGAGGTGGAACTGCCCAAAACAGAGCAGAGTAAGACAGATGAATGATTGAAACTTTGAGGTCGCACATCGCCTACGCCCACCCCTTCCCCTGCGCATAAGGCGAGACCAGTATTTTGCTGTTGATCAACTTCCGTTACGTTTGCATGAATTTGTTTTCTTTCAGTTGTCGCTAGCATGATACAGTAAAGTTTATGGTGGGTAACATTTGATGCTAGGAAGAATCCTTCAGTGCCCTACATTGGGAAAGATGCCGTATTAAAATCCCATCATCAAAGCCATATTATCATTTGTGGCGACTTCACCCATTCGAGGGGGCCTAACGGGGTGAAGTTGTGTGAACCAGAGTAGAACGAGTTTTAAAAATGACCAGAAGAGTTAGTGTGACATAAAACATCTAACGATTTCTCACTTACTAACTACAACCATGGTTGAAATTTTATGAGGGATAGACATGTCTATACTACAGGGTGTCTCATTATAGATGCAGAAAATAATACCCATGTTAAAAGTTTAATACCAATTCAAACATTTATCATGTTGAAAAAACCGCCCCTTTTTTTCTATAACAAGTTGGAGGCGGTGTGAGATGTGAGACACAGTATGTTTAACTTCTTCAAGCGGCACTCGTGCACACTCCTCCTCAATTATTGCTCTTAACTCCACCAAATTCTTCGGTTTATTTTCATGATATATGCGAGCCTTGATCATTCCCCAAGATCAATAATCCAGATGTGTGAGATCGGGTGACCTTGCGGGCCACAAGTTCGGAAATCCATGAGCAATGACTCTTTCATCAGAAAATTGCTCTCGGAGATAATTTCTCACTTGGTTTGAGTAGTGGGGTGGAGGGCCATCGTGTTGAAAGACGGTCGATAGCTTCTTTGCTGCTTGAGTTGCGGGATAACATGCGTCTGCAGCGTATGGAGGTAACTGTTGCTGGAAACCGTAGCATCGAAGAAACAATGACGCAGTACACACTTTGAGGAGACCTATACACACACAGAAACGAGGGGAATGGAGAATATGGGTGAGGTACTCGTTAGGAGCTTCACGGGACCGTATCACGCAACTGTGTTTGTTGATGATGCCATCCACAGAAAAATTTGCTTCATCGCTCCATAAAAGGTTGGGAACAATTTCTTCATTGTCCAGCAGCCACTTAGCGAACGTGACACGTTGCTCCCTGTCTTCTTCCGTGATGTTTTGTAATAAAGTGAAATGATATGGGTAGAGATGAAGGTGGCGTCTTATAGTACGATGCACTCTGGAGCGGGGAATGTCGGTCAACTGAGACACCTGAGTTATTGACGAAATTGCTCGACGGCAATCTGTACAATGGGCGCTGTTTCATCACTCAGAGACTTTCTCCCTTTGTCAGGAAAATCTAATACAGATCCAGTGGACTCAAATTTCGCAATCAAACTTGCAATGGTCCACAAGGTGAAAGAATCTTCGATGAGACCATGTTTGGGTTTGTAACCATGAAGTGCAGCGGTGGCGCTTTCACCAAGAGAATAATAGAGTTTCACAATTTCAATGCGCATACTAAAATCTATCGTGAACAGAAAACATGCCAACAACTGCCCAAAAATCTGCTTTATATGGCTACTAATAATGAAGAAAGTTGGTATTTATTCTCCGATTAACAACGCGTACTCACCTTTGTAATAAAGTGAAATGATATGGGTAGAGATGAAGGTGGCGTCTTATAGTACGATGCACTCTGGAGCGGGGAATGTCGGTCAACTGAGACACCTGAGTTATTGACGAAATTGCTCGACGGCAATCTGTACAATGGGCGCTGTTTCATCACTCAGAGACTTTCTCCCTTTGTCAGGAAAATCTAATACAGATCCAGTGGACTCAAATTTCGCAATCAAACTTGCAATGGTCCACAAGGTGAAAGAATCTTCGATGAGACCATGTTTGGGTTTGTAACCATGAAGTGCAGCGGTGGCGCTTTCACCAAGAGAATAATAGAGTTTCACAATTTCAATGCGCATACTAAAATCTATCGTGAACAGAAAACATGCCAACAACTGCCCAAAAATCTGCTTTATATGGCTACTAATAATGAAGAAAGTTGGTATTTATTCTCCGATTAACAACGCGTACTCACCTAATTAAATTTTGCGTCTATTATGAGACACCCTATAGTTTGGAAACTAACTCATGATCTCCTATGACGGAATTTGGTTCTACGTCAGATAAATCGCGTCGGGGTGAAAGGACAATGAAAACAAGCCAGGACGTTTCAGTTGAGTTTGTTGGTGAGCGCACTTCGACGCTTCCATATCAGACCTTCCCCATGTCACTGACTGTTATTTAAGTTCAGAGACTCATTATTCAGACAGTTAATTAAGCTTTTTCAAGAAATTTTGCTGCCACAATACGTGGTCAGAGAGAGGCCGTATTACGGATATCACTTTGTAAGACGTATAAAGTAACAAGATAGCGTGCTTGATTTGTCTTGTTTCGAACAAAGGAAAAAAATCGCCTTTCTTTATATAAAATCATGTGGAATTTTCGGAAAAATATCAAGCTACCACGCATTTGGTACTTCCCACACTCATGTTCTATATTCTCCAATGTTTGTTTGGAAGTGTGGTTGTCGCGATTTGAGCTGAAGACACGTGAGAAATATTTGAGTGGACTCAGGTTGCAACTGGTCAACTACTGAGATTCTGCAGGAAAATAAGCTCAGCCAAGCAAAGTTTACCATGCCCAATAACCGTCACCGTATTTGGCGTGGATTTCAAGTTCATTCGTTGTACACTAAAATGTACGTATGCGATGAATTTTTAGACCTGAACTGTTAGGGTGAACTATGCATTGCATATTTGGGTCTTGTTGTGAGCCAAACGAAGAAATGCATTAGCTGATACGAGGCAT